GCTTGCTAAGCGTCGGTTCATCATAATCAAAAAATCATCACTCGTAAAGGAAAAGAAAAAGAACCCGAAAGAAAGAGAAATGTGGGCGGCGGATTGTATTGTATGTGCTCGAGCCAAATACATAGACATCAAGCGTACAATAAACGAGAAAGAGAGAGAGAGCAAAAGACAACGAAGAAAATAGTTATGTATACTGTTCTTGTGCGTGTTCATTGTCTTTTAACCTGTATGTAAAAAGTCTTTGTACAACATGTCTATTCAATTTTCATCCATTTATAAGTCATTAGAGAGAATCAAAAGTAGTCAGTTAGAATGGGAATTTGATGTTCTTGATAAATATATATTCAGAATTTTTTTCTGACTTACGACTGATTTGCTATGAATAAATATCTCAATAAATAAAAAAATATTATTTTTTCTAGCTTTACAATAAGCTAGAACGCATAAGGATAAAAAAACCATTAATCATTGTTCGAATAGCTAATTTTTAATGAGAGAGTTTTTTTTTTGATAAATACTGTACTCTTCTAACTTAAATATAAAAATGATTTTCTTATATTTTAAGTTATTGTCAATACTGATTTAGAACGAATATGAAATCCCTCTTCTAGTCGACTACTTTTAATTCTCTTTCAATGGACTTCATAGTAGACAAACAATGAGTAGACATGATATTCAACGATTCTTTTACCTACCCGTTATAAATTAAAGTAATGAATCAATTTCATATAAAAACATAAGCACACACCTGCTGTCACCGATAAAATTTTCTGTCGTCATATTATCCTTATCTATGTTTTGTTTTTTCCTATTGAAAACTTAATACATTAAGTCTATATACATTGAATGTTTTTATTAGAACTAATAATAATAATCACTATGTTTACACAGAAAAGAGAGGAGAACAATAATATTCTGATTACATCATTTTTTCTTTTGTTGTATTGTTGCTACTACTAATGATGATGATGATGATGATGGTGTTACTGTTGTCGTCGCTGTTGTTGTTACATTTGTTGTTGTTGGTGTTAACGCATTATTCATCATATCATCTAAGATTTTATCTGAATCAGGTAAACATGTTCCACCAAGACATTGTTCAGTAAAAGTAACAAATGTTAAATATCCATCTTCTGATGACGCAATAAAAAGACGACCATCATGTGACCAACAACCATCAGTAAGTGATAATAGATGAATACGACGTGCATATGCAAATGGTTCTAATGACAATTGATCATAAAAGAATAATGACGTTTTAGTAATCAATGCAAAAAGCATTCGATATGGTGCAACAGATGATGTTGATGGAAATAGAGAAGGACATACAGATATAGCTATAACTTCTTGATCATTGATAATTGGTATAATTGATAAAGGTCGATCAAATTTAGGACCAGATGTTGCAAATACGTAAGCACAATTAACATCGATTAATTTAGCAGGTACTAAAAAAAGAAAATGAAATAAAGATAAAAAAAAAAAAAAAAGAAAACGGAAATATTTTAATTAAATCAATATTATACATGATGTTGATGCAAGTTTTTCCTCATTAACACCATTATCTTGTATAATTTGTATATCAGGATCATCAAAATCATTTTGTTGATTATTAATTTCATCTTTTTCTTCAATATTTTCTTCATTATTATATGCATTTAAAAATGCTTTATCTAAACAGCCAGCTGATACAATTAATTGACTACCATCAGGTAAATAAGCACAACGTCGAAAAAATGTTAAAGATGTTTCATCAATAAACATTAATGCACCATTTTCTTGTTTTATATTTGCTGGTTTTATTTTACGAATATTATATACACATCGTGATATCGAACCAGTTTCAGCTTTCATTGAATAAATACGTAATGAGCGATCTGTACTCATGGCTGCAATATATTTACGCCATGGATGTATAGCAACACCTTGTACAAAACCTTTTGGATCATCAACAATTGAGATTTTTTCACGTTTAGCAACATTCCACTATAATAGAGAGAAAACAAAGTTAGCATTTAAAATTTTACTCTCTATAATCACTGAAGTAACCATTCGTAGAAAATAAAGAGAACAAGGAATTAAAAACTACACAATTTGATTTTTTTGAAATCGAATATTTTTCTATTAATAAACAAAATAGATGATGGAAATGTATTGTGTCAATTATAATATAGAATAGTCACTAATGATTTTCTAGAAAATACAAAGTTTTAGTTTTTCAGCGCCTACAACTTGGGCATAAAATCTGCTCGCATCACACGAAATGTTGAAGCAAATCATTTTCTAGAAAATAAGACGGCCTTCAGGTGTTTATGATTTTTTTTCTCAAGTCATTCTGTTCCCAATAACCACTAGAATGACTAAACAAGAGTATGCCTGATCGATCTGTTCATATTGTAGATATATCAGAGACATTAGAATCCTAAGAGACAATCCGAAATCATGAAAGATTCTGTTTGTCTCGTCTTGCAGGATTCACTATTAGATCTGAGCACAGAACCGTTGTATCCTGTACTATCCTCTGTTTTACATATTTTTTTCTTGTTATCGTCTGTGTTATCCGGGTAGGTATTCATCACTCTACTTGTTTTTACTAATAGCATCCACTATAGGTTACAATAATGACGATAAACCTTACAAGTTCATATTTATTTTTATAATGTTTTCTGTGATGAACATGTCATTAAATAATAAATCAGTATGTTTCACTATTTTCTTGTATTTATAATAGTAGTCATTATTGAAAACTTTAATTGTTGAATTTGAAAATAACACAAAATAAATTAATCTCTGTTGCAAAAGTCTTGAGACAAAATGTTTAGTCATTTTTCACTGGTCTAAGCGTAGTTAGTGAGAGTTAAAATTGGTCAGCTAAAGTTAGAATCGTGTGCTCTTTCCAAATACATAATCATAATATTTCTGTGACTTAGAATTGGTTAGGAATGAGCCAAATGTTTGACACAGTCGAATATGATGCTTGTACAGAAAACATTTGTATGTTTGTTTATTTTTCAGCTGTTAGAATTATCTGATACAAACCAAAAGTAGCTCGTTAGAGTCTATTTGATCTGCTCTTATCTAAGATGTATTCAGAATATCTCTTTGGCTTAAGATTGATTAGCTGTAAGTTAATACTAGACAGGGACAAAAACTGACATCTCGACGAAGAAATTACATGTTTTTCCGCTATTCATCGTTTGTGTACGCTGTATTTTGAAGGAATTCTTAATTGGGAATTTGTAGAGCATTCGATTTTCTATAAAATTATATATTACAATAGCCTTGAACTCAAATGAATAAAAAGTCATAGACGTTTTCCCGAGAACTGATTAGTATGTACAATCAAATTCTGTCAAAAAGTTAGTTTTCCGAAATAGAAAATCAAAATAGGTAGCATAATTTGTAGAGCAAACTTCGGTTTACAAAACTGACCGATGAAAATATGTTTCATGTTTTGATCAAAACACAAAATACAGTCAATAAAATTCTGTACAAACATCATTTTCTACTCTATCAAACATTTGGCTCGTTCCCAGTCAATTCTAAGTGACAGAAATATTATGATTACATATTTAGAAAAGAGCGCAAATTTTTAATTTTAACTAACCACTTTTGAGTATCATTAATAACGCTTAGGCAACTGCGAAATGACAAAACAGTTTGTCTCAAGACTTTGCAACAGGAGTTAACTAATATGCATATTGATCATCGATCATCAAAATAAAGATTCGTACGATCCGAGCATGATGTATTAAGGTAGCAAGACAAGACAGTAGGTATATTGAAATCGTGTGAAGTTTTCTCGCTCGATATCTTCACGTTTGTAAAAGATATTTAACGAGACTCAACTGCAGCTTTACATGCTCTTTCAAACGAATACAAAAAAGCAATTGACTACAATGAGATTTGTTCGAAAACTTTTGCACTCGCAATCAGAAAAGCATATCTGTCAAGTAGAAGGTGACAGAAAAATTCTCGGCAAAAAGAAACAATGCCAAAAATATAAAAATCATGCCGTTTCTGAAAGATCAGATCTTGGACTATTTTTCTGAAGGCAAAGGCCTTAATTATGTATTGAATAAATAACTTACAACAATAACTTTCTTATCAACTGAACCACTAACAAGTAATTGATCATCTCTTGACCATGCTAAATCTAAAACAGGTTCTAAATGACTTTTATATGGTAAACTTTTAAGCCAACGTTCTTTTGATTCTGGTACATCTTTATCCCAGCCAAGCATATTATCATTTTCATTATTATTTGCTGTTGTTGATGATGATAATGACGTTGTCAATGGTTGATTTATTTTCGATAAAACAATTACATTTGAATCAGTAGTTGTTACTGTTGGTGCTTTTGTCCATATAAAAATATTACCATCATCACTACCACTAGCTAAATGTGTTCCTTTTGAATTCCATCGAATACAATTAACTGATTCTAAATGAGCACCAGAAAGTGCAGATATAAATAATATTGTTGGTTGTTGTGTTGATGGCCATTCAATATCCCAAAGATAAATTGAACCTTAAAGAAAACACTTAGTTAGAAGTTCTTTTTATCGAATTTCAAAAATCGAAGTTTACCTCGCATGCCAGCTGTAGCTAAACGTTTGGAATCTATTGGATTTATTGCACAAGAATAAACAGGATCGCAGCCATGCCATGATATATTTGGTGTACAGACGTTCATATTAAGATCTTAAATGTGAATCAGACTGATAGTTAGGAAATAAAGGACAAACAAGGCATCATTGGCGCGTTAGAACAAAAGCAATGAAATAAAAAGCAAAATAATATCATTTTATGGAAAATAAATATATAATTTAAAATAGATTTTTCTATTTAATGATAACATTTCTTTTATATAAAATTTTACATTAAAAAAAAAACTTCTGATTACTTAAATTGAGTCTTGTGGTGAATTTCTAACCAATAGAAGTGATTTTATGAATCATGATTATATCACTATTCTTATAATAAGTATGTTGAATATCATGCAATATATTCGTCGATTTTCATTAATTCGAACATCATTTCGTTTTCTATCATCAACAATCGTTGATGTAACACCATCAACAATTGAAAAAGAATTATATGAAATAAATAAATTAATGAAAACTTATAATAATACACATATACCTATACGTACAGTAGCTTTATTTGAATGGATGTTAAATATAATAAATATAAAACCTGATTTTAATTGTTATTTAAATATAATTCGTGCATGTGGAGAATTAAATAATATAAATATTTGTCAAAAAATTCATCAATATATTGAAAATGATCGAACATTAAAAATAAATGAATATCATCAACTTCAAATTAAACTTATTTATATGTATTCAAAAATAAAAAATATTCAATTAGCTGAACAAATATTTCAGAAAGTTAAATCAACAAAAAATTTACCAATAGATATTAGTCTTTTTGGTACTATGTTCAAAGGTGAGGAGAAGGTGAGTTTAAGAAAAAAGTATATATGAAAATATGAATATTTTATTGCATTTTTTTTAGGGTATAATATAAATGGACAACCAAGTAAAACAATTGAATTGTATGAAAATGAATTATTAAATAAAAAAACAATTGAACTTGATGCTATAGCAGCAACATGTCTACTTAGTGCATGTACTGATTGTCATCGATTAGATATTGGAGAATATGTACATGATGAAATTCTAAGACTTGGACTTCTTGATCCACCAAATATTCGATTAGCAACAGCGGTACGTTCTTAATAAATTCAAAAAAGTCAAATTCATTTTATTGTGAAACACGATCTCATATTAAACCCACAGGCAGGCCTCTGTCGGAATAACAAAAACCTAAAAGGGTTCATCCCTATTGGCCTTGGGGGTGGAGCTATGTCAGATTTACTGATTTTTTGCTTACTTTTAGATACTTCCCAAAAAATTGAATAGTGGAGTTTTGGTTCATAATTTTGCCTAAAAATAGGTCTAATGATTCTTTGAATATCCTGAAAGTTTCGGTCAAGAAGAATGTTTCTTCGTCGAGTTATGGAATTTTCAACTGAACTCCATTTTTCTGATAAAGGGCTGCTTATCAATAGAAAAAGTTTTGAGTCAAAAATTCAGTAAATCGGCCATAACTCGGCGACAAAGGTTCATGGGAACGGACCATTTGAAGGTTTTGTTATTCGCGCTGACACCTACCTGTGCGCTAACTATGAGCTCAAACGGTGGGTGTCACTTCGGGTAGTGCTCTTGAAGGTTATTTAGTTACTTAAGTTAGTTAATAACTTGACACATCACTTTAATTGCTAAGTACAATTAGTATTAATTTACATAATATTAGAAAATTTCGAATACTACAGGTATCATCTCAGAGTATGGCTGATAGCTTCAGTCATCGAAGCAAAGAACGTCGCCATGCAAATAACCGAACTTTGGCGAAGACCATACTAACTGTCAGAGAGCATCACACGCGTTATTGATATACGATCAAAGACCGTATATTAATAACGTTTCGTTCTAATATATGAAATACTTCCTTATTGTATTTCTGGGTGATTAACTAATTGAACGATGAAGAAACGTATCTCAGAACAAATGGAATAAAATAGATTTCTTGCGATTAGCAAGAACAAGCTAGATTGTGTTTCACATTTTAATCCTGCAGAAATTGTACTAATAGCTTTTGTTATTTAAAGATTATGAATATGTATTGTAATTGTGGTTCAATTGATCGTGCTCGAGAATTATTTAATCAATTACTTCCAATAGTTGATCATGTTGCTTATTCAATATTAATGAAAACATATTTATCAATAAATCAACCTCTGAAAGTTCTTGACTTATTTGAACAATTACAATTATCATCTATTTCACCTGATTCATTTATTTATTTAAATATAATTAATGCATGTAATCAGTTAGGACTTATTCACCAAGCAGAAAAGATTCATCGTTCAATTCCATCCTATATTATTGAACGAAATCATGCATTACTCATTGGTTTAATTGATATGCATGCACATTGTTTACATTTAAATGAATCTTATCGATTATTTAACTTACTCAAACAAAAAGATAATATATCGTTAGGAAATTTATTACATGGCTATGCAATTAATGGACAAGGACAGGAAGCATTAAAATTATTTGAAAAATTTAAATCCGAATTAATATTTAATGAACAAGTTTATAAAATGATTTTATATGCTTGCGCATTCACAGGTGATCTCGTCAATGAAGCACAAGAAATATATAGAACAATACCAGATAAATATAAAACACCACAAGTTGCTGCTGCAATGGTAAATATTTTACTTTAGTAATAAGATATTAAAAGTACAATATCTAATTTCGTTATTAGAATTTGTTAATGAAATAGAAAATATAAAAACTACGTGAGGTTGAATTCATAGAATAACATGAATATAAAATGATTATTAATAAATAATTTGTAGGACATATGAGTGATTGTTTTGAAGGAAAAGTGAAAGACTATATGTTACATCTAACATACTTGATTTGAGCCATAGGTAATAAAGAATTTATCGAATCACGTTCTACATAATTCGATTGAAAAGAATGTCTTAACCCTTTATCTTCTACAGCAATTTCAAAAGAATCACTGATAAAATAGTCTTATAAATACAGTATTAGCCTCTCTAATTATGCCAAAGGTCTGGTCAAACCTATTAAATGTTTCTGACCTTAGCACATGGTGATTTTCGGTTACTCCAATGACCATGTGATAGAAAAGTGAGATTGAACGACATAAAAACGGCTGAAGTTTTTTTTTTGCCATGATATTATTGAATCGACAAAAGCAGCGTGTAAGCTACGATATTCGATTAATCGAAAAAGAAAGAAGTGAATACATAAAAACTAATTTTGAAACAACACATTTATTCAATTTTCAAGTTTAACGTGAAAAGATCCCTAAGAGATAAATCGCTTTCAAGTGGAGACTATATTCAATCGATAGGACCTAATGAGCAGGTAAATACTCTAGAATGATTCGAGTTGCTGATATTTCGCTCGACTCTATCGATTGAATACAGTTCCAACCTAAAAGCAATGTATCACTTGGAAACCTTCCATAGTTAGTTTAAGTATTCATGAAAATGTAAATCTTCTTACCATACTTTTTTTCACATAAGAAATGTTGTTCTTGAAAATTGATAAATATTTTTTTCTTGAATTTAGGTTTCAACACTTGCTCGTGCTTCATTTTTTGATGAAGTCGAATTATTTATTCATCAATATAAGCCAAGATCACAAAATATTTCTCTTCTTTGGTCAGCTTTTTTTATGGTATGTTATCAATCAAAAAATGTTCAATACGCAAAATTAATCTATGATCATATTACTGATGATCCTTTTTTATTATTACTTTTTTCGGATATGACAAATTCATTATCATCGAATGAAATTATTAATTATTTTCGACAACAAAAACCAGGAATATGTTGGACAGAAATTGAAAATAATGATAAAACTAATTATATTATATATGAATTTTGTGATAATGATCTTTCGAATTTTTCTTCATTACATTCTGAATTTAATGTTGTGATTAATGATTTGAAATCAGCTGGTATTTACTGGAAAACATATGAAAATGATCTTAAAGAATTTGTTTGTGGACATACATCAATTCGTTTAGCTATAGTAAAAAATTTAATATCAACTTTACCAAGAACAACTATTCAATTAACAACAACGAAATCAATATGTTATGTGTGTCATGAAGGAATAAAAGAATTGAGTTTATTAAAACAACGTGATATTGTTTTGAGAGATAATATACGTGTGCATCATTTTCATAATGGACACTGTTCATGTCATGATCAATTCTAGATTTGATAGAAAAATAAATATTGTTTTCAAGAAATTTATTCGTTGATTTTTTTTTTTGAAAAGAAATGTTCAGTTGAGATATAATTCAAAAAATGAAAAGAAATCACAGAACATTGAAATAAAAATGACTGAATTACTATTTGAAAGGAAGTTTTTCTTTATAGATGTTTTAATTAGATGCAATCATTTAATTTCGCTTCATTATTTTTGAAAAGAACATTGCGTTCATTGCAACGAATCTCTTCACCATGTCGTTTTCAACATGCACAAAATCAGCCACCGTTAGTTGTCGAACGAGCTCTTCGTTCGATTAAAATGGATGCATTTGAAACATCATTAGTTCGAAATTTTTGTATCATTGCTCATGTTGATCATGGTAGCGATATGTTTTGATTTCTTTTTTTCTTAGCTTCTAAAATGATTTTATTTTTAGGAAAATCCACACTCGCTGATCGATTATTAGAATTAACAGGTACAATTCCAAAATCGAAAGAAAATCGTCAAGTACTCGATAAACTTGATGTTGAAAGAGAACGTGGTATAACTGTAAAAGCAGCAGCAGTTTCAATGTTTTATTCATATAAAAATCAAACATACTTACTTAATTTAATTGATACACCTGGACATGTTGATTTTTCAACTGAAGTTGCACGTTCATTATCAGCATGTCAATCCGCTATACTTCTTGTTGATGCAGCACAAGGAATTCAAGCACAAACAGTTGCTAATTTTTTACTTGCTTGTGATTCATTTATGGAAGTTATTGCTGTTATTAATAAAATTGATTTAAAAGAAGCTAAAGTTGAAAAAACTATAGCTCAAATTGAATCAGAATTTGGATTATCATCTAAAAATATTATTCAAATATCTGCTAAACATGGAACTAATTGTGGAACAATATTAGAACAAATTGTTGAACAACTTCCACCACCTAATTATTCTCGTACAGGTCTACTTCGATTGTTTGTATTTGATTCAGTTTTTTCACCAAGTATTAATACAACAGTCATTAATGTTGCTGTTACGGATGGAATTGTTCGATCAGGAGATAAAGTTGCAAGTAAATTATCCGGAAAAAATTATACTGTACTTGAAACAGGTTGGTTGAAGATATTTTATCCGACAAAAAAAACAAAAAACTTTGTCTTCATTTAGGAATATTTATGTATCCTGATCGGGTCAAAACTGATGCGTTATATGCTGGTCATGTTGGATATATTATTTGTGATACAAAACATATTCAAGATACAATTGTTGGAGATACATTTTATCATCAAGGTTGGTGAGTGTTTCGTTATTTAAAGAAAAAAAAGACAAATAATAAATATATTGTTAAAACTTTTTTGTTTTTCTTTTCAGGTGTTAATGTTGAGCCATTACAAACATTTAAAGTACCTAAAGCAATGGTGGTATGTTTAAAAGAAAGAAGCCTATGTGAAGGACAAAGGTGCAAAAAGCTGTTTTTCGGCTTGTTACGGATTTGAAGTTTTCGTATTGAAATCGAGTCCGGGATGACCCCTGACCATATTTCACTGGTCACAACCGTGATAAGTGGCATCTCGGTTGATGAAAATTGCAGTATCATCCGAGAATTTGAGAACAAATGTATCTTATATTTCAATTGCAAAATACTTAGATATATCAATTCGAGTATGCTGATCACGAACATGATATTTAGAACGAATAGAACTGTATTTCTTTTGGGATAAAGCGAACGTAATATAATCACTCAAAGGATTCCCTGGGTGTACTATGCTAGCTTTGGTCTTAAGTCTTAAATGAGTTGTGTTGAAAAAAAAACCGTTTTTTTGTACTCAAAATTCCGAGTCTATGCTTGAATATGCTCGTTCTGTCATTTGTGAAGACAAAGCTAAAAGCTTGTGTGTCTAAGTTTCTGAAGAAAAGCATCGTCATTGTGAAGTTTCACAATATTGGCTTCATACTGTGGAACATGTGATACAGATAATATTAGTTTGATTTTTCTAATTCACGAGAGCAACAAAAAATTCTGAAAACTTGAATATTTATGCTTTTGATCATGCGAGAATATGATGACGCTATCGATTTTCAGAGGCTTGTAGAATTTCTCCCGAAATCTTCAGAAATTCTATGGAAACCCCAATGCACACATTTTTCGATTCATTTAAAAATGCCATTTGAAACAACTCAAAGAATTGCTTGTCCCGAGAAATTTTTACACTGAAGCAGCATTGGCTTCAGAAGAAAACAGGATGTGCACAATCAAGCATAGAGTCGGAATCGCTAATTTGTGGTTTAACTTGGCTTCAGTTAGTTTTGGGGTCCGAGCACAGCTCATCAATTTGAGCGAAAAAAGCTGTTTTCTAATTGCAATTTATTTAAGATTAAAGCTCAAAGTTAGCAAAGTCCAGCTAAGTAACCCTATGGCTGATCACATTGAACTGGCTCTATTCCCACAGGCAATACAGTTCTATTCATTCTAAATATTATATTCGTGATCAGAGTGCAGGAAAATAGTTTTTCTCAAATCCGCCTGCGTGCTTCAGGTCCCAAAAATCGAGATATCAATTATCGTGATTTTAACTGATGGAATATAATTGTGGATCATCTCTAACTCAATTTCAATACAAAAATCTCTAAACCATGAGAGATCACGAAGCGGTTTTATTCACCCCTCGTCCTTTCTTATTCATGTATTGTTTTAGTTTGCTGGATTTTTTCCATTTGATGAAGCACAATATAACAGTTTTGAACAATCTATTGAACGTTTAGCATTGAATGATACTGGTGTACGAATATTATCGACATCAAATCCAGGTGAAATATATCTTTTTCTTCGTAAACTTTTCTTGATTAATCGTTTCTTCTCTCTATTTAGCATTTGGTAAAGGCATGCGAATTGGATTTTTAGTAAAAAAAATTACATTCACTCTTAAACCATGAACACACATATATCTCTTTGTCTTTTTAGGGTTTACTTCATATGGAAATCTTTAATCAACGTTTACAATCTGAATTTTCACAACAAGTTATAACTACATTTCCTGGCGTTGCTTATCAATGTCGTATTGTTGGAAAAGATAATATTAAAGATTATGGTTCAGAAATTTTAACTATATCAGATCCACTTAAATGGCCTGATACAAATATAATACGTGAAACATTTGAACCTATTGTTGATGGTCAAATTCTTACACCAACACAATTTGCACCAATAATTAAATTAATTTGTGATGAACGACGAGGAAATTTAATTGAAGAATATTGTATAGATGAAAAACGAACATTATTAAAATATAAATTACCTTTAGCTGAAATAGTTTATGATTTTTTTGATCAACTTAAACAAGTTACATCTGGTTATGGTACATTTGATTATGAAGATAGTGGTTATGAAAAATCGAATATAGTTAAAATGCGTTTTTGTATTAATAACGAAGATATTGATGAATTATCCGTATTATGTCATGCTAAACGTGCACAAGTTATTGGAAAAGAAATTGTTATTAAACTTAAAGAAAATATTGAACGACAACAATATGCTATTAAAATCGAAGCAAAAGTACATTCAACTGTACTTGCAAGACAAAGTATTCCAGCATATAAAAAAGATGTTGGAGCTAAATTATATGGTGGTGATAAAACACGTTTAATGAAATTATTAAAACGACAGGAAGAAGGCAAAGAACGAATGAGATCAATTGCTAATATACAAGTACCACGTGATGCTATTATTGCAGTATTAAAAAGAAAATAGTAGTTTCATTATGAAATTAAATAAATAGATAATATACATACAAGTCTTTTTTTTTTGAAATTTTAATATTAACTACTAGTATATGAATTAATATAGAACAAAAATATAAATATCTCTTTGAAGATATGTTCGGAATCCGTGAGTTCTGAGCTCATGCGGCTCAAGCAATCCTAATAACTCTCAAGAACTTGTTGAAATTTAGATAATCGATCAATTCTAGTGTTTAAAATGAAATTGACATCATCACACTTTGCCTATCCACAAGTTCTGAACAATTGCCATGGTGTCTTATATTCAAAATTCAGCATATCACAAATATCAAGACAGATAACAAATATACAGCACAATCTTTTCCGTGAATATTCAAATATGGGTGCAGCTGTGAGTGTCGAGAGAACCGAAACCTCTCCACACTTCTCCGAGAGTTCCAGAAGTTCAGAACTCACGGAATTCAGCCTCTGTTGAGTAAAACCACACTCGTATGATACCGGATCAATCAATGTGTAATGTTTATGGCAATACAATCCGACCTTTGATCAATGAGATAAACAGTGAGTAGGGGTGAGATAAAATCATCTATAGTCTACCGCTGGAAACGCTAGGAAGGCTTCAAATTAACCGAGAAGAAAACAGTTTCAAAATATATCTCATAACTGAGGCGAATTTAGACTTCGTGGCTCAGACGCATCAATGTTATCCGAATGTATCGGAAATGACTTGATCCTGTCAGTTTTAATAGACTTCAAAATATTCACTCATTTTGATGCAATACATCATAATATGACACTTGCAGAAAACAACAATGGCAGTTATCACGTAGGCATACTCCAAAATAACTGGTGAAAGAAAAAAATATCGCCTTCTGAAATCGATGTAATATGGCTATTTAACTATGAAGTGTAGATTTTGTCTTATGAAGAAACTTCACGCAAGAACATTTTCGAATAACAGACGATAGAAAAGTATTGATACCATTGGATTTAAGACCCTTTACCCATTTCTGCATTTGGAGACTAGAAACTCTTCTATATTTCATTTATGTATCCTTGAGGTATTCGAGTACGATTTTGCTGGTACTTGTACCCTAGAACATGCGTACTTATCTAGCTCGAATTTTTGACGTTAAAAGTACCGTGAAATGTATTAATTTGGTATGAAGATAATGTTCCTTCTGAGAACGATGAAAGGTAAAATGAATGGTTTTTTTTTTCATTTCCTCAGGTGTTCTTGAATCGAAACAAAAAATTGATGACAACATAGATAGCAAAAAACGGTAACAAAAAGTAACCTATGCATTTATGTTGTAATTTTAAAAAGCTTGAAACGTTCTTGTTCATCCGTTGTAAGGGATAATTTTCATTAAATTATATTTTAAATGGTAGTAATATTCAGAACACAGGTAGATAGGACGAGTACAAGTACCGCAAGTAAAAGTATTATACTTGTACTTCTAGAAGAATACTTTTGTACTTGTTCTTAAGTACAAAAAGAGGTACGTAGTAATTTTACTTGACGTATAAAATAAAATAATTTTCTTTGATAAGGTTGATTAGCTCTGAGAAGTTTTCAAAAATCAAAATATTATCATCTTATCAAACTGTTGGTGGCAATATAATACTTTAATGAGAACATTTATTTGTAGAGTGCTGATAAATTCAGTGCATATTACCTGTACGAGTCATCTGTAAGGATGTGACAGCACAATTCCCAAGGGGGAAAAGCGCGACTCCATCGGTACTTCAATGATACTCCATAGGTACTTACTAGTATTTCATGGTACTCCACTGGTATTTTACTGGTGCTCTATCGGTGCTCCATCGTACTCCAGTGGTATTTCACTGGAACTCCAAAATTTTTTTTGAATACCAGTGGAGTACCGTGGAGTACAGTGGAGTACAGTGGAGTACCGTGGAGTACCAGTGGAGTACCAGTGGAGTACCAATGGAGTACGCACTCCTGGAGTCGCGCTTTTTCTCCCTTGACAATTCCACTCGCAAAGAGCTGGAACAGATATGAGTTCGTTGCTGTCATGTTTTCAAAACAACAAAAGTATTCTGTTTTCGGAACACAACAGTAATAAGTTCATACCAGCCCACAGCTCGAAATACCTGGCCTACTAGCTCAGTTCCCGTGAGTGGAAGCTGGTTGACAAGCGTCAGGTCTTTGTAATCGGTGCTGAGTGGTCACATACTTATTCATCTGTTTTCATTGTTCGAATTTTGTCGAAATATGATGAACATTTCTAAATCATGACATTTGTTTGACTTTATTACTTGACTAAATATAATTCTCCAGGACATTAAGAAAAATTTACATAAGATCCAATATTAAATTTTAATCAGGGACACGCGTTAACTTGTGGTTTGAACATTGTCAAGAATGAAAATTACAATAATTGCTTTAGCATTATGAGTAAGTACCAAAGTTTCAATGAAGCAGACAGATGCTTCAGATACAAAAAAGAAATTGTTTCCTATTGCAAGTAAAAGTACAAAGTACTTTTTTCGTACTTAAGTATAAGTACAAAAGTATTTGTTTCGAAGTAAAAGTATAAGTGCAAGTAGATTTTTTTGAAGTACAAGTAAAATACTTTTACTTGAAAAAGTACTAAATATCCAAATACAAATACTTTCGTCCTACACCTGATTCAAAACCAACAACTAGAAATCTGTTGTTATTTTAAATACATTATCTTGAATGAAATTTGTTTTCCGCCTTCAACTACGAATAGTCGGACAATGTTTTCTTATGTTGAATATTAATTAAACATATATATATTACTTCTAGTATACTATAAAAACAAGGTTATTATACATAATATATACTTCATAGGAAAGACGTGTAAATTGCTTTATTTTTTATTCAAGAATCTTTATTACACATAAGAGAAAGACTTATTAAACAAAGAATCGAACTAAAAAAAATTTTCGTTTAGACAATAATTCACACGTCACTTGAAAAATATTTTTATTTGTAAATTAATTAACTATTGACATAATTTGTTAGAAAATAATCACAATGACCGGTTCAGACCGAATAAATAAAACATAATGAAAGAAAAATGCTAAGAATTTCAATAGGTAGATCTCAATATATGAAGACCTAAAAAAGATTAAATGAAAATATTTCCATATGAAAGAAAAAAACTAAATAATTCTACCGATAGCTTGTGCAGGAATAGTTGGATTATTTCTTGCTCGAATATAGTGATCAGGATCAAGTAATTCACCCGAAGCCTTTTACACAATGTATATTTATTCTAAAAGTCATTGAAAATAAGCTTACCTGGTAGGCTAAAAAAAGAAACAAACGAAAACAATAAGATAAGATATATATTTATGAAAACAAAAAAACAATGTATTTACCGATTTGCACGTCATTAGAAAACATTTTTCTTGTGAATATTGCAATCAGTTGTTGTGTTTTTGCTGGAATTGTATCAACCATTTGAAAAGCATGTCGAGACGAAAGAACATTTTTTGAACCTTGAAAATTACTACTAAGACGAACTGTTCGATTAGATTTATTTTCACAAACAAGTCCAAAATTGCTAAACAAAAATAAATTAAATAGAAAAAAAACAGCCGAAAACTATGTCTGTTTACCCATTATCATCAAATGTTAAAATCGAGACTCCACCACCCATATCTTGCCGATTATTAGCACGAAGAGCAACAGCATGAAAAGCATCCGCAACTAATTCATATGATGATGGTTGATCATGTACAACAAATGGTTGACTACCATGTACAACTAAATTAAATGCTGGATAAACTAAATAATTAACTACAGACATTGAACCAGCTAATATAGTATATCGACCAGGTGGTACAGATGTCGATAGTGTTATATAATAATCAACATCATGTTTATATGCTCTACAGTAACCATTTGAACTAAGTAAAATTAGAAAAAGATCAACATCAGGATCTTTTAAACGATTATAATAATTTCCATCGCCAGCATTAAATACTTCGATTTCAAGTTCAGCTCCATATGGACATTCAAGTCCATATACTGATGTTATTGTAGAAGAAAAATCACTAAATTGACCACGTTTACGAGCCTAGAGGAAAAAAAGAACAAAATTCGAACTTAATATCAAAAATCTATTTGAAAATATAAAACTAACTTCATGCCAATTTGCATTCACTTTACAAATAGTAACACTACTGAAGAATGAAGGCATTTGTTCCCAAGCTATTTTTAAGAAAAAATTTTGAAGATTCTTTTTTAGTAAAATTAAATACATACGCATCCAAAAAACACCATCATTTGCTGATGATGTACTAAGTTTATTTTTGAGAGCTTTAGGCCATTTAGTCCAATTTTCATTTAATGCACCTTTCCATTCTTTTTCACCCCATGGATTACGTAAACGAACAAGTCTTTGAGAATTAATTTGACGTGCATCAAGAATACTATAGGCATGATCTGATTCAAGACCTATTAAAAAGAAAAAAAAAAAGGCTGTCCTTCAAATTAATCAATTATTTAATTTACCCATTCGACTAAAAGTTTGTTCACTAAAACGTTTATTCGAACATGGACATGTCATAAGATATCCTATTTAAAGAATAATTTAACAATGATTTTTTAATGATACTAATAAAATTTCTATTTTTACCTTTAGCACGTGATTGAAGAATACTAGTCCATATTTGATTAAGATCTGGTTTTTTTTCAGGATCAGATGAACGTAAAAAAAGTACCTAAAGAAGAAAAAAACCAACCCCACAATACATATTTATTTAAAATATATATTTACTTACTTCACATGGTTCACCTGTTAGTGTTTGTAAGCCTTCATCACATCTTCCTAAACATAAGTTGTTTATTATTAATTTATCATAAAAAATAAATTAACGTACCAGATTTTAGAGTCATGTAACTACCATGCATTTTGGCTAATGCTTTCTCAATCAATGGGGCGAATAATTGTTTTTTCTTACTTCGTGAGAATACAAGTGAATTTGATGTTGATACAGGTAACAAATCATCAACAGTAACTACTTGCCATATACCTTGATTGCATAAACGAACTCGATAAAGTCCTAAAATGAAACAAATAAAATTTCGTTCCTAATAAAAATTTTTCATGTATTTACCAGCAGGATTATATCGTTTGGTAATCATTACTTTATAGAGAATTTGTGGTACTTCAGCAATTAATGATAATGCAGCAATAAGCCAGCAATTACCAAGACGACCTTGAATAATATCTTTTGGATGAGGTTGATTGAACAAAGCTAATGGATATTGTTTATCTTCACTGGACCATCGAATACGTTCAGGACGTAACCTTTAAAGTAAATAAATATATATAATAATAAATAAACAAACAAATTTTCAATAATATTATGATAGTAATGTACCATCCTGCTACACGTCCTTGATATTTCGCACCAAGAAAACTGGTTCCTTCATCACCACGTGCAATACTTTCGGGTAGAGGTAAAAATTCGGGATCTGAAAATTTTCTATCAACTGGTGCTAGATTACCAGCAGATTGAGATGCTTGAGCAAATTGTTCATGTAATGAGTAAATTTCGCCTAATTTTATTTTAATGAACAAAATAAATTAGAAACTGTTGTTTTTTTTTCTATTTATTATCTTACGAGATAGTAAACTACGTATACCATCAACACGTGATGGTGATGGACTTGGTTTACTAACAATATCAAGACTAAGTGAAAGTTTCCTAGAACGCCCTCGACGATTGTTATCATCTAATTCTTGTTGTTGTTGTTTTTGTTGCTGTTGTCGTTTCTTCCGACGTTCCATAATTCGTATTAAATATTTTAAAAAATAATGGTCGACGACCTCAGTTATATTAGGACTAGTCTAATGTGGTGGTCGCGACTTTCATTTTCGTCATATTTGTCCCATCGATTAACATCATAATCATGACGGCCAGAAAAAAACGACAAGAACGACGATACAAAAAAAATACGATACACGAAAAAAAAAACCCAAGAGAAAATGTAAGAATCAAATGAGCATGACAAGAAAAACGTATGGGAGTATAAAAAAAAACGAACAAGAAGAAGAAACACGACCGTGAAGGCTGTCGAAATACCTGTATATACATCTATTTGCACTATTATCATACTTTTTAAAACCATCATTGCCTTCAATGATTCTTTTCAAATCTTAGATTAATCGCTTTATTTGTAAACAATAAAGTAATATTTTTGACTGATGGGTATATAGATGTGTAGTTGCTATTCTTCTTTTTTTTTTTTTATTAATCATTTATGCGATTAGTAGCCTATATAAATTTATATTTGCCTTCTGTTTTTTTCTAATGAGAAATAAAGAAAGAACGAAATAACGATGCTTTGAAGCGGAACCGTTTTCGATTTCATTTACAATATATATGAGCCTGGCCTTCTTTTGCTGAAATATACCTATCAAATCGATTTTTTTTTTATGTTAAAATACCATTATACTGATAACATGAAAGGAAAGAAAAAAAAATGTGCTTTTGATATATGTAAATTTGAATTAAAATAAAGTATCTCTTGTATAGAAGAAAACAAACTTTTAGTTTTAAAATAGATTTTAGTCTTTTTTTCTCTATATTTAAATCTAAAGATTGCTAATTGGTTAATAAATGAAGTATGATTCAAATTATATTTATTATGTTATTCATTAAAATCTTCTTCGATGAGACATATCTACTGAGATGATTTACTTTTATACCATATAAATCATATGTAGAATCGATACTATCCATAAGAGAAAAATTAAAAAATAGATAATATCATCAATGAATAATTTTTTTCTTTCATTTTTTAAAACTAATGTTTTTTTTTTATACTTAATCACCCTCGAGTCATGATGTTAATCAAATTGAGGAATATGACAGCTCATTTAACTTGGAGTTAAAATCTAATTTACACAAAAACCTTAAAAACTACTGATCAATATTCGAAAGTACTCGTGTTCATAGATTATTCAATTGAAGTTCTTGATCAAAATGAATATTGTATCCTTCAGTAATTGAATAGTACAAATCAATAATAAAATAAAAAACTTTTCAAAAAGACCAGCACTTATTTTAGTTAAGCTTGTCATGCAAACATGAAAACCTTAAATGAAGAATCATTTGATATACATCTACATCTGCAACAGAAAAAAAAAAGAAAAGAAATTGAAACCATGAGGAGGTTCGACATCTTTTATTCTTCTTTTATGATTGGTTGTCAACATGTTTACATATGTTTATCAATGAATCATTGATTTAAGTTCTCACTTTTCTGTAATCATTCTGCTTTGACCTAAACTTGATATTCATATCTAAATCAAATATGAGTGTCAACGAACGATCCTTAGCAACATCAGCTGGTATATCTACTCAAAGCGGTAGTGGACCATCAGGAGGACCAAATCATTCCGATGAACAAGTAGAACCATCTTCAACATTAGGTATTTTTTCACTTGATTATAAAAAGTAAAAGCAAAACTATAATTTTGTTGTTTTTTTTTCTAATTTATTAATTTTTTCTCTATTAAAGACATGAAGATATTAAACAAATGCTTGATAGTAATAAAGATAATTTAAAATTAGATGCTATGCGTCGAATTATTGGTGTAAGACAATGACACAACTAAAAAAAAAATACATTTTGTATTTATTTATTTAGATGATTGCGAAAGGTAAAGATGCTGCTGATCTATTTCCAGCTGTTGTTAAAAATGTTGTTTCAAAAAATATGGAAATTAAAAAATTAGTTTATGTTTATTTAATGCGTTATGCTGAAGAACAACAAGATCTTGCATTACTTTCTATTGCAACTTTTCAACGAGGATTAAAAGTAAACATCTAAGAAAGGATCCTTCAGATCATGATTCAAGCCGTCCACTGTAAAGTTTTCTTTAAGTTCATATGAAAGATCATATCGTGAAACTTATAAATCCTAAATATTATTTTTCTCTGGCGCACTTCTGAAAAATGCTGAAGATAAAAACTTCACGATTTTTTTTTTTTGAGTTTTGTCTGTCTCTGATCGTCTTTTAAAGTCAAAGAAGGATTCTTTACAAATTGGACTGTAACAACAGTCATTATAGAAAATTTTTGTAATCGATTGTGCCTCCACAAGGGACAGGATCTATGCGTGATGGTCGTCCTTTTGCTAGGAATTTGTCTCTAACCTCGTCAAATCATGGCATTCCATAAAAGGAATGTAGTTTCGGATAGCTCTTGAAATTTGCATCTTTTGATATATTACTCAAAGTGCAAAGAGACAAGAACAAGACTTTAATAGGAACCACAACTAATGCACTTTGATATTCCTCAATAGGCAATTGGACTAAGCTTCTGTGACTATATCGACTACCTTCATTCCAAATAAAAATATGGCTTCAGATTGATGATCAACATCAAAAATAAGATGGGAGAGGGGTAGCCTAAATTTATCTTGGAGAACATATTTATAATCATCTGGGTCAACCTATGCAATTTTTGTCATAAGAAGAGATGAGATGAACAACCATTTCTCATTTCGGATCACCAGACTCTCAGCTTTGAAAGCAATATATAATTTCTTAGAAGATGTTTTTATGTTGAGAAAGTTATCGAAGTAAAATAAATAGCATACTCGAAATCAGCGCAAAAGGCTACATCATATCTGATAAATTTAAGTTATGATGTGAAAAACTACTAAATAGGAGCACCATTTGAATGCTTTTACTACTTGACGTAACAACTGTAGTGACTGCTAAAATCCTGTGCACATCCTTTTGCACTTTGACTAATATATGGAAAGACGTGGAACTTCAACGGCTTTCAGAAACTAGAATCTTTTCTTTTTGGAACGCCATGAGTTAATGAGGTTAGAGACAAATTATCAGCAAAAAGACGACTATCACGCATAGACCTCCCGTCCTCTGTGAACATACGATCGATTACTAAAACTTATTATAATGACCACTAGTATAGTCCAGTTTGCAGAGAGTTCTTTTCTGCATCTTTCGAGATCTTCCATAATTCAAAAGGGCGATCAGAGACAGAAGAAACTACAACAATTGTAGAATTGTTATCTTCAGTATTTTTCACAAGTGCATCAGAAAGACCTATTACTTTGAATTCATAAGTTTCACAATATAATCTCTTATTTGAGCTAGAAAAAAGAATCCACAAAAACAATTTCGTGACAGGCAGCTTGAGTAATGATCGGACGAACATTCTCTTAAACACAAGATTATTTTTATCTGTCTTTTTTGTTATATTAGGATCCAAATCAATTAATTCGAGCAAGTGCATTACGCGTTTTATCTAGTATACGTGTGCCAACAATTGTAACAATAATGATGTTAGCTATTCGTGAAGCTGCTAATGATATGTCAGCTTATGTTCGAAAAACTGCTGCTAATGCAATAGCTAAACTTTATGCGTAAGTTTTCTAGAATATTTCAGATATTGGTTTATGTTTGTTTGCTTTGTTTTCGGATTTAGTTTAGATCCGGAAATGAAAGATGAATTAATTTTAATTATAGCAAAATTACTGGCTGATAAAACAATTGTAAGTAACGAGAAATATGAATATAAATATTTTTATTGTTTTTTAAAATTTAGTTAGTTAATGGTAGTGCTGTACAAGCATTTGAACATGTATGTCCTGAACGAATCGATTTAATACATAAGAATTATCGACGTCTATGTAATCTTCTTGTTGATATTGATGAATGGGGTCAAGTTACTGTATTAAATATGTTAACAAGATATGCTCGAACACAATTTGTTGATCCAAATAAGGTTTGAAATATTTAAATAAATAAATAAATATTTGTTTGGTTTGTAGACATATGAAGATGACAAAAAAGATTTTTATGGTGATGATGATACAAATGAAAAAGAAAAAAATCTTAATGATGATGATGATGATGATTCATTGGATAAAAGAACGTATGTTATGGATAGTGATCATCGATTATTATTAAGATGTACAAAACCATTATTACAAAATCGTAATTCAGCTGTATGTATAATCTATATGAGAAAAATAGTTTTTGTTTTCAATAATATTCTTTAAGAATATCAAAAACGAATGATTGCTCGATTTGAATACAAGAGCAGAGATAGAACCGGTCTGATCGATTCTATCTCTGTACAGGAGAATTGAAAATTTCCTAGATTGAATGAGAAATAGAAAGCTTTGATCAACATGGCTGTTTTTTGTAATATATAGACTGCATGACAAAAAACACTTGATAGATATATTGTGGTAGACAGTCTAGTGAGAATATCTATCAAGTCGCTTGACTTTATATTTTCGCTATGAGTAAGAATTAATGAAATGGAGAAAACACTAAAAAAGGTCAACAGTACCCATCATTGAGAAATCCAAGATCAATTGACAGGAATTCAAGGCATTCTACAATAAAGGTGGCTCGAAGCACTGAAACGTACAACCCCACTAAATGGAGTTCGAAAGACCCGCACATGCAGTCCTGATGTGGATGCTTCAAACAGTAACTCCCACTTGAATTCCATGACTTTCCGATTTGTGAAAGATGAACATATATCGAGTATCCAACGAATAAGTATATATCACAAGGCAAGCCATAGGGTCGCATTGTCTTAAACACTCAATATCTCAAGAAAAATATATTCGTTTAAGCTAAAACGTTTAGGATATTCTAGTGACTTTGAGACGTCCCATTGGGAAAAGTTTCATATGACAATCTCCTAATTAAATTTTCCATAAATCATTGACGTATATGCCAAAAATCTACTAAAACAGTCATAATTCTGCACTCGGTAACGCATCGACTCGAATCTGTTTAGAATTTTCTTAATTTCACTAAGTTCTACTCATAGCAAAACTATGGAATCTCAACAATTAGATATGTTTACGTACCGAAACCATTCGATCACTGTAACTCCTTGTACATTACTCTCAACTATGAAGAAAGTTAGTGTTACAGTGTATTATTGCAGCATATACCTCGATCCTCACTATTCTCGTCTCTTTGGTCATTTCTTTATTTTGTTTCTGTTACTTCTTTTCTTTGACCTTGATTAACCTCTGTATTCTTTTTTATTTTGTCCTTGTTTCCTCATGTGCGTATATTAAAGACTGTTTTTCTAAAAGAATAAACAGAGAGAGAAGAAAACACGTCGTTATTGTGTTCGTTGCTCTTCGTGAGCGCGAACTCTAACAGTTAGCCTAATGTTTTTAATCATAATTATTTTCCCCTAAGTCATTAAGTAACCAATCATCTATGATATGATAGGATATGGTTAATTATATCAAATAGAAGTTGACAAGTTCTGTTCAATCAGATTTATCGATACCATTGACATGAAGAATAAAAAACAATCATCTTAAAAAATGATGCTTATAAATTCATATACGGATGTTTTATAAATTATTTTTTTTCAGGTTGTTATGGCCGTAGCTCAACTTTATTATTATGTAGCACCACGAAGTGAAGTACAAATTGTTGCTAAATCACTTATTCGTTTACTTCGTTATCATCGGTAGAAATCATAATTTTATTATTTCTTTTTCTTTTTTACACTAAAAACAAAAACGATTCATTTTCTAGTGAAATTCAAACAATTGTTCTGGAATCAATAGCATCAATGGCTGACAAACATAAACAAATATTTGAACCATATTTAAAATCATTTTATGTTCATTCAAATGATAGTAGTCATGTTAAACGTTATAAACTTGAAATTCTTACGGTATTAGCTAATGCGTCAAATATTTCAACTATTCTTCGAGAATTTCAAGTAAGAAGAAATATCGTTTTTTTTTAGCTTCCAAATAAATTTTTCTTGTTTCTATTTAGACTTATGTTGTAAGTCCAGATAAAGAATTTGGTGCACAAACAATTCATGCTATTGGACGATGTGCAAGTACAATTCCTGAAGTAACTGAAGCTTGTTTAAATGGCCTTGTAACATTAATGTCAAAAAAAGATGAAAAAATTGTTGCCGAAAGTGTTGTTGTTATTAAAAAATTACTTCAAATCAATGTAAAAACAAAAAGTTTTTATTTTTGTAAAACGTGATCTAAAAAAGAGTGTTAGGTAGAAATTTACACCTAACTCCCACTGTGAGCATTCAAGCGGAGGTTGGAGTGAAAAATTGAAAGTGTACTTAGTAATAGCTTAAGCAGGATAGCATATATTGTGACTTATAGATTATTTAATGACATAAAAGTCTTTATTCCTTTTGTTAACATTAGTCGAAAAGAGTCTCTAGTAAGAATTAAGAGCCCTTTTTAGTGTGAATAAAAAAGTGCTTTTGCAGAAACATGTGTTCAGTATAATGAGCATTCACAACTCCGAATTGGACGAAATTTACACAGCACATGTCCCTTCGCCCATAGCATTCATATAGCGTTAGCGCGAGTTATCATAAGTGTTCCAGATCTGAGCTGAAGGTTTTCTAGGTAAATTTCATTTGTCTCAAATAGAAATACTTGTATTGAAAACTAACTTCATATTCGGAATGAGCATCAAATGATGTATAATTGATTAGTCTACTTTAAAAAAAGAAGAAGATTTTTTCAGACTACAGTGTAGCCTCTCTATAGTGAATGCCCTTCGGATTTTTCAAAAGTGTCCACTATAAGAAGGTTAAGTGTTTTCTAAAACCAAAGATTTTTACAAAACAAAAATACACATTTTCTAGGTATTTGAAGGATATTAGTGAATAAAATAACTTTTTACTTGTCTTTAAGACTTCTCGAAAGTATCGCGTATTCGTCTGGTCTATAGAAAAAAGACATAATGCACTTCTCCTCCCAGATCATGATAGACATTGTTGATATCCGATCACAGACCATAAATCAGGAACGTATTGTTACTACTTTCTTACTGCATTCCTGGAGAAATCTTGTAAAAACACAGGAATTGCATTAATAAATTTATTAATTGATTAATTTAATCATTTTTATTCTTTCTATTAGCCATCACAATATAGTGATATTATTAAACATATTGTTCGTATGGTTGATAAAGTAACTGTTCCAACAGCACGTGCGTCTATTCTTTGGCTTATTGGAGAATATTCCGATCGTGTTAGTAAATTAGCACCAGATGTTTTACGAAAAATGGCAAAAACATTTCCGGATGAAGTTCGTCATTAGTCTTAGTTTTTTTTTCTTGAATTAAAAAAAAATTTCTTTCTAGGAAACAATAGTTAAACACCAAATACTTAATTTAGCTGCTAAACTTTATGTTATAAACAATAAACAAACACATTTACTTGTTCAATATGTATTTAATTTAGCTAAATATGACACAAATTATGATACACGTGATAAAGCTCGACTACTTCGAGCTTTATTACTTCAAACAGATAAAAGTCCAACATTAAGTAAATATGCGAAAAAAATTCTATTAGCACCTAAACCAGCACCAATACTCGAATCAATTATTCGAAGTAAATTTATTACAATAAAAAAAAGAAAAACTTCAAATATTCTATTTTGTTTGTTTTATTAGATCATGAACAATATACATTAGGTACATTATCATATGTTATTGGTCAAAAAGCCGCTGGCTATAAAGATTTACCTGATTTTCCACTTGAACCAGCTGATCCGAGTGTTCGTAATGTTGAAATTATTCATCCATTAACAACACAACATGATCAATCAAGAAAATCGAGTGCTACTTCTGGAATATCATCTAGTGGAAAGAAAAAAATTGGCAAAAGTGAAACTTTTTATTCTGACGAAGAAGGAGAAGAAGAAGAAGAAGAAAGTTCAACTGAAGGTCCAGATGATGATGAGAACGAATCAGAAGAAGACGAAGAAGAGGAAGAAAAATCAACAGAAAATGTAGATAAAACGAATGAATATGAACAATTAGATACTCGATCATCAGATATGATTCAAAGTCAACCTCAGAATAGTACGAGTAGTGAAGAAGAATCTGAAGAAGAAGAAGAAGAGGAAGAAGAAGAAGAATCAACAGATGAAGACGAAGTATAAAATTTTTATTCTATTTCTTTCATAGATTTAAATCTCAACTTCTAGCGAATTCCACAACATGTGTCGGCTGTTGGAAAATCTCCATCAACTATTGCTGTTAGTGATTATACTATTCCAGCAGCAGAAAAATCTCTTTTAGAAATGGACTGTAAGTTAATCGATCTTCATTCCCCAGAAAACAAAAAGTTTTGTTTTTCCTGTAGTGGAATCATTTCTTGGCTCAACTTCAACACCAACAACAATTCAACAAACAACAAAAAATAATACATTTGATGATTTAAATAGTTTACAATCTTTATCTGTAAAAACATAAAAGAAAGAACATTGATTTTATTTTTTTTTAATTAAATATTCTATCTAGACACCATCACCAACATTAACTTATATTCGACAATATGATTGTTTAAATCGTATAACAGGTCAAGGTTTACAAATTCAGTATCGTTTTCCACGTACACCATATCCACGTATATCAAATATGGTTCATATTGAATTAATATTTACAAATACAACAACAAATAAAGATATTCAATCGATTAAATTTATCAAATCGGTTTGTTTTGATTGCTTTTACGAGCGAAGTCTTTTACTGATTAATCGCTTTTGAGTCAGAATCACGTAGACCCTAATTAATTATGAATACATCGAAAATAGTTCGGACGTATTAAGCTTATTACTGCCGACATATTGCGTTTTTCAATGCGATGAGAAACATCAAGAAAACTGATTTTCGAGTTTCAATTTGAAGCTTTGCATAGAAACAGAAATAGTTAATCGTGAAAGTATCAGACCGTTTGATCTATTCCTCTATTGAAATAAGAACATAAAATCTGAGAGTTTAAACAAGCAATGTAAAAAGACATTCTTTTACAATGACCGTATCTTAAGATAGGAACATTCAAGTCGAAAATCAGTTTTTCTGATGTTCCTCATGGTATTGAAAAATACCATAAAAATGCAACGAATCGACAGTAGATAAGTGCAACATGATTCCAAGACTGAATTCTTTTTCTGATCAGAATCGAAACTAAAACTGTTTCATTGGAAGTAATATATTTTATGCTTGGGTAAAACCTACGTCAAATGTCATTAAAAGTTTATACGAACATTATTGGGTAACGATTACTTCAGTATTTGCTATTACAATTTCAATAGTAAAATTAATCATTTTTTTTTTTTGTAAACAACAAAGTTGTCGAACAAATCAACGTGCGGAATAGTCAATGTGTTAGAGAATTAAGAAAAAGTAATGAATCTCCAAAAGAAATATAGCAGAGATCATTCAAGATGTCTCAAGCTCGCTAGAAAACTTTATTGCTATTATATGTATTACTAAGCGCGAAACCAAAACTAAAACTTTTGTCTGACTGTGATAAAAAACGATTGGTTCTGCTCATCTCTAGTCGATTGTAATCGGTCCGAATTTTTCTCTAAGTATTCATAATTCATTAGAATCTACATGATGCACATAGTCCCAATGTAAAAGTGATTAATCAATTGAAAAACTTCTCTTGTTGATTTTATTTAAAAAATTCTTTTGTTTTTCTTTATGTATAGAAATCTGGTGTTAATATTGATGGATTTAATGATATTGATATATTACCAAGTAATGCATCGATTGTTGCATCAATTGGTGTTGATTTTAATGATAAAACTCAATCAGCTTCATTTGATATATCATTTGATGGAAGACAATTATCAACACCATTATCAATATCATGTCATGTTGGTGAACTTTTTGAACAAAAATTTTTAAATGAACAACAGTTTACTCAAAATTTAGGTAAAATAACAACATTTTACTTTCTTCTTTGTTTTAAATGTAAATTAAATAATTTTAGCTCATCTTCGTGGCATGAATGAAATCACTGATAGTGTTAATATTAGTGAAACACAAATGGGAAAATTAAATTTTACATCTATTCAAACAAAAGTATTACAATGTGCAAATGTTACTTCAGTACCATTAGGTTCTGGTAATTCAACTATATATCGGTAAGAATAAAAAAAAAACAATACGGAATAGACTTTATTTCAGAAACTTTACTTATAAAATTAAATTCAAAAACCTATATATCTTGCAAATGTCCTGTAGAAAAAAAAAACCATTTCTGTTTATTAGAGACACGAGAAAGAGTTAGAACTATTTTTTCGTAGTCTAATTTCTGATAAATGTCTCTAAAATAAATTTCAATACTCGTTAACACTTTCTTTTCCGATGTTAAAGTCTTTATCCGTGAAAGGTCTTAGCAACGAGCACATATATATGTTTGTTTTTTTTCTAATAGATTTTCTGGTCAAACAATATCAAGTAAAGCATTAGTACTTATTACAATTCAATTAAAAATTCCTGAATTAACAGTAAATTTAATAATAAATTCGGATCGAATTGTTCTTGCAACAATGTTATTAAAAGAAATTAAACAAACATTTTCTACAATGACATAAAGCAGTTTTTTTTTGTGTTGTTATAGTAATTATTTATATATGATTATGATGATTATTGTGTTTCCTTGTCGTGCAATAATGTAATGTGTAATTTTAATTTATTTTAGATATTTCTCCTATTTTTTTGCTTTTCTAATCTCGGAAAATGACGGATAAATTAAAAGATTTAAAAGTTAAAACTGGTGTTGCTAAACGGTGAGAGAAACATTAAAAAGTAACAAAAATTTATTATGAAAATATGTAAATTTGACTTCTATTTAGAACATGGAAAGAATATTTATCATATAAAAAAGAATATGATAATGAAAAACGTAGAGTTGAAAAAATGACAAATGAAGGTCGAGATGAATATGATCTTAAAAAAGCGGTAGAATTTTAAATAATTATACAATTTTTTTTAATTAATCTTTTGTTTTTAGCAAGAAGTATTAAAAGAAACAGAATCAATGATTTCGCATACAAAAAGTAGTTTTATTAAAGCATGGAAAGACTTTCAAGATGTTTATGTAATAATTCTCTTTTTATATTATAAGGGAGGTTAATGTTTTTTTTTTGACGACTTCTGTAATGATCATTCAATATGTAAAACTATTATATTAAGATTTTTGAAATCTCAAATATTGTTGCAATATAGGAGAGAGTTTGCATTTCAAAAAACTTGAGATAACGATTTTAGATAGTTTTGAAAGCGAAAACAAATATTGTCACTAGAGCCAATCGATCTCAATTTTTGGACCAGAATCCAGTTAACTGATAAATTTCAGATTCGGACGTGGTCGGGTCCGGGATCAACCCGACAGACTTTAATTGCCACTCGACTCAGCATGATGACATAGCTGTAGAATAGAATATGTTAGAGATATCGGTCTTTATATGGATCGAAAGAGAAAAATTTTATCTATTAAACGATCACTGCATAAGTCGAAGTCCAACTGGAAAATTTGCTAGAAAACTGTTGTGAAAACTTCTTACAAAAACTCACCTGATTCATTAGCCGCTGGACCAATCGAAATAGAGCTGGTTTTCTATTACTTGATGTCTTCTGTTGAATCATGACATCCGTAGGTCTCTTTCTTGTGACTATCGAAAGTTATTCAAAAAACAAAAACATTGACCTCCCTTATGTTTTGACACCAATAACAGTTTCTTTAAAAACAAGTTCTTTTTGTTTTAGAATGCAGCAACAAATGATGATACATTAAAACAATCAAAAGAATATGAAGAAGCACAAAAAGTTCGTGATGATCTTGATAAAGCTCAACAAGAAGATCGAGCTGTACAAGCATAAATAGAAATAATAATTCCATTTTATTCAAAGACAGTTTAACTGTGATGTAGTCTTCTTTTTTTCTGTGGTATTGCACATGCTTCTGTTATTTCTCACGCCAACTGAATGATTCTATCAATAAACATATTCGCTCTTAGCAAATCAATATGAATGGAATATAATAATTCTTGTTTTTTTCGATAATTTTCCGATATTGAAATCAATAACTTTCGTATATCGATGTTTATGTACTAAGATTTGAACGAAAGTTTGTTTTGCAATTCTTAATCCTTATATCATTTTGTAAAGAACATTCACGACTTTAATTCTATGCTGAAAAAACTTTGGTAATGCAACATCTGTAGGAAAATTAGTATTGTAGTTTTTTCGAAAATATTGAAAAAAGTAATATATCTAGTTTATTGTTGTTTTTCTCATTATTTTATTGATCTGCATCTGTAACCGGTAGTCAAGGAAGATGAGTGATACCTTATAACAATGAACAATAATAATAGAAGGATCTAGATGTAAATTAATAGAAGATGCACACTTCTAAATACAATGGAATATTTAGATTATTTGTCGTCTCTGGTTGCAAAACACAAAAATAACATTTTTATAAATCTTTTCTTTGTATTTATTGATCTGCATCAGTGTTTTATTCAGATTTTCTCTTCCGGAGGCACATTTTTAAACTCCAGAAGGATCAACCCGATCTTCGGAGGGATGTCGTCTTGCCCCCCCCCCCCTTGAACTTCCACGCTGAATAAAACAGTGGCCTGTGTATGATCTTTGTTAATGGTACTCCCCCTCTTTTGAAATCATTTCTGGTTCTCGAAAAGGTTACAATCGATTCGCATGAAGTTTTTACGATAGATAGAATTCCTAAAATAAGGAGATGCATGTTCGCTGAAAACAATTTTTAACAAAGTTTTCCACAGGACTGAATTCGGATCTATTTACAATATTCAAACCGATTGAAATTTCGATCACAGATAATTGAATGTATTTTCCAGAAGTGAAATCAGTCGTTTACATTTTTTGACTTTCTTGTCTGGATTTATAGAGCCCTGAACATCAATACCTAGTTTTGGATCCAAACCTTCACGTATCTCTTTCAAAAACAAAACGAGAGTTTTGAAAAAACCTAAAATCACCTTTGAGTTATAGCTTAGGACATCTCTAAATAAACTTTCAGTCCGATCCGACAGGGTTAGATGGGATTCGCCAACGAGTCCAGTATGATTGTATGGAAAACCAGAGTTTCGTGAAAGCATTGTTTAAAAGTTTTTTTTTTGTCAAACATGTACCTCCTTATTTTATATGCTCTATCTGTAGTAAAAAAATTCAAGCAGATCGATTGTACCCTCTCCGATAACCAGAAATGATCAAAAAAGATCTGGATGTCTTTAACGTATAAGCATCACATCACAAATAAACACTAGATTTTGCTGGTGAAAATTTTCTAAAGAGCTTTTCAAGCTTGTTTTTTTCATTTTAATATTTTTGCATTTCGTTATTAATTCCCTTCGATAGTTTTACTTTCGATATTTTCGACCAAACCAGTAAAGAAGACTGATAGCACAGAAAAAATATTTTACCAGGGTCATTAAAGTGAACAAACACGTTTATCAAAGTACGTTTTGTACTTAGCTGATATAAGAGGTGTACTTGTGTATGTTGAACATCTGTGTATTACCTTTAGTTTTTTGCTGTCATTTTTTTTGTACTAGTTTATCATATTTTCCTTTTTGCATGCTTAATTAGACATGAACGAAACTATCTCAATAATGTTTAGTCTGAAGTATCTATAGGCATAGATTTATATGTGACTAACAAAGCATTAAAAAGATGATGATGACCCTTTTTTTTTGTCTACAAAATTAATCTAATTAAATCTTCAAGGCTTTAATATCTGTGAATACATTTATTTTCCTCTAGAACTGAATTAAAATAAAATTATTACTCATGAATATTAATTAATGTAAGAACTTTTCAATAATATATTGCAGGTAGATTTATTTATATAAATCAAAACGTCGGAAATTACACTATGCAAATGTGACAGTTATTACCATAAAAAAAACTCATGACATTCGATTTTCTTTCTCAATGCGGATTGTATAAATTCTCATAATAGATCATGCTAAGAACTTTTTTCTTTTTTTTATTCAATTTCCATGTAGTGGAATCAGACAATTGATTGAACGAATGATAATGATTATAGTCGTTGATTTTCAAGATTATGAAAGAGAAATATTCGATTTTTTTTTTAATTTCTTTATCAATGAATAGTTCATTTGATTTAATTGAACAACTGGTAGATTAGCTTTTATTATTGATAACGAGAGAAAAGATTTATTTAGATCATTCAATCATTTCTAGCACTGTGATTATTGGTTCCGAAACTAAGTTCTGGCCATGACGACCTAGATTTTTTTTTTTTGAAAGTATCCATTTGGTGTAAGTCAAATGAAAATTGAAGTTTTATCTGTTATTGAATAATCCAAAAGCATTAATGAATAGTTTACTATCTCTCTTTCTCTCTGTATCTATCTAATCTTTTTATGATTGTACATCTCAAATAGATTGAGAATAATTGTATATTTAATCATTATTTTGCAAGAAATTTTATTTATATTATGTCGTTTTGAAATTCTTTAATTAACTTACAATTACTATGAAAATAGATTCTTTTTTTTCTCTATTAAAATAATTCATTATATATATATATAAATATATCTTCAAAAAAATATTTATGAAAGATAGAATGATGGAAATAATTGAGGAACTCATTAACAATGCAAAATACTTGAAGATTGTTCTGTTTAAATAGAATAAATAATGGAGATACATAGGAAAAGAATAGGAAAGAGAAAAAAAAATGTCAAGATGACAGCTTTTGAATGATGAATAGATGAATAGAATTATTTCGTGTATATAATTATAATTATCTGATTACATAAACATTATATTCTAATGAACGAACAATAGAAAAAACTTCATAATGAAACAAACTCTTCATCTATCATATGAACTTTTTCGATTATTGTTTTTTCTTCTGTGTAATCCTATTTATATCAATAAAATTCTCTTTGTTTTTTTTTAATATATATCTCTTTAGTTTTTCTTTTTTTCAACAGTTAGAAAAGATATAAACACAGGAGAAAGAAAAAAAAATGAAATAAACAATTAGGCAACAAGTGTGCATAGAAAAAGACAAGGATTCATTCTCTATACCACAACACAGAAAAAAAATCAAACATACAAAAAATTCTAATATAGTTCATCACCACTTGGCGTCGCCAATGATGATGATGAACCGTTGCTATTCGCATTATTATTATTATTATTGAGCAACGAATGCGTTATTGTATTTGTTGTTGATGATGATGACGTTGACGAATGTACATGATGATTATTTAATAGTGTCAAGTGTCCCGTATGTGTTGAAGGATGATATTGATGATGTATTTGTGTTGATGGTGTTGCGAATGTTTGTTGTTGAGCTTGAGCAGCAGCCGCTGCTGCTGCTGCAGCACGTGATGCAGCAGCATTAGCTGCTTTTGCACCACGTTTACTTGTATTAGTACCACGTTTCGATGCTGGACTATTACTAGTATTTGTTGTTGATTTAAGTGGATTATCTTTTTCGCAATATAATTGTCCATTAAGAAAAACATAACGATCACCTTTAACTAAACGTGCATGACATTTAATACAAGTAAAACAA